CCCCAAAACCCCAAAACCCCAAAACCCCAAAACCCCACACAGATACGGTTATTTTGAAAAGATATTTCTCATAAATTAGCCTAATTCTTCAGCCCCTTCAAAGCCTTAGTGTCTAAGATAATGGAGAACTTATCAGAGTTTCTCTGACCCGGTCTTTTTTGCTTGGTTATCTTACTTCGTTTTCACTTTCATTCAGACCTAGTGCAAATTTCTTGGTCCTGATCTTTGTAGCTTCAGGTATATCATCCTCTCTTTGGAAAGTTGGAGTAAGTAGGACTGTTCTGAGAGGATCCTCGTGAAGGTTTAGCATTCATAGGTAACTCCTTCAACATTTCTTCTACCTTGCTTGCCAATTTCCCAGACTTTTTATTTTTACACGTATTGGATTCTGGAAAGTCGGGAAGATCCAGATTAGGTGGGTCTGTCTGTACTGATATTTCTTGATTCTGATAAGTAAAGCTAAACAATTTTGAGAACTCCTCTTGGTCATTATTACCAAGCTTCTTAACCTCTAGCTCAAGATTTTTAATGTCTAATCTCTTGTGACATCCATCAAGTGGTCACTCTAGAGAAGTTTTCTTTCTCCCAAACTTATGTTCGAAACATTCCTTAAGGCATTCAATATGGAACCTGTGCTTACAGTTAGAGCTCTTGGCGGGTTTATTACCTTTCTTTTTACGATTACACAAGGCTCACATGTTCTTGCTAGATTTACCTTTGCGTTTCTTCTCAGTGGTCTTCCTCTTTGGTCTCTTAGTAACAATGGGTTTCACAGAGGCCTCAATAGTACCTTCATTGGAGGAAAGATATTTATCAATCATGACTTTCTCGACGGGCTCGGTCTTATTTATAACTTAGACCATTAGACTTCTTTGGATTTTTATAACAAGCATTGATATTTTGCTTGCTTACGTTGACCTTACCATCGAAGTAGCAGCCTGGATCAGAACCTGGGAAGCTTGAGTTCAGAGTGCATCCAGGGGCTACCAGTCTGCACTTGTTTGTAGTTCTGTCAATCTGTCTTGTAAACCCATGAACAAACTCTCTATCTTTTCTCTTATAATTATCAAATGGGGGATGCTCACTTTTAACAAGAACTTGGGCTTGGATTAGGTCAGGCTGATTCTTTCCAATTTCCTTCTGTGTTCTCTTCTTTTTCAGATCATTATTCTCAGTGCTCTCATATGGAAAGGAGGCAGTCTGGTTCATCTTAATATAGTTCTCAAACTTAGTAGCGAGAAGCATCTTTATACTTTCATTTTCTTGAGTGAAGCTTTTCAAAGTCTGGGTACTATGCATTATAATCTGTTTATCAGGGGGTAAAGCAATGTTGTCACTCAACTGTTGCATTTCCATGATTTTGCTGATTGCTTTGTCAGGGTCAGCCAGGTTCTTACTTAGTAGCATACCTCAAACAAGACAGCTTAGGGTTCCAAAGTCTTGTAGCTTACTGAAACTATACTCCAGCAAGTTTTGCATTTCCTTCATATCAAATGAGGCCATTTATATGTTTACAAAATCTTTATATAAAATGATCTGATAACGGGGTTTTGGGGTTTTGGGGTTTTGGGG